TCGGAAGGTACATATGTATCCAAATATAAAATAAAAATGTTAATAAAATACCCTCATACGAAAAAGCCATTGACAACAGATTCAATAATATTGCCAAAATTAATGAAAGCTCTTCCTATTAGAGAAATAAATGAGGATAAATCTAAATAGCAAAATTTTTCATTGGCTGACCCGGACTTTAATAAGCCAGGCCGAGTTGATGTAATAATTAGAGCAGATTATATACACATATCTTAAAGAAAGGTATGGCAAAAACTAATGGTCAAAATACACATTTCGGGTGGATTGTATCTTTGTGTACTAAGTCTAAGGGTACTCACTCAAAAGTTGCAACTTCTATTGAAGTACAAGATTTAGAACGATTCTGGGAATTGGAAAATGAATTTTATAAATGATATTTAAACCGAAATTTGTGAAAATAATTTTATTAAAACCACCTCCCGTATATTTTTAGGATTCCATTTAAGGACGATACATCCTTAGGAGACTCCACAGGCAATGGCACGGCTAATAAATATGGAGAAAAAAATTCCAGCGGAATGAGAAACTTAGAGATGCCTATAAATCATTTATGAAAGCATATATTGATCTTGGATATATGGTTAGTCGAAGAAGGAGGGAAAATATTACCTAAAATAAAGAAATTGGTAATATAATTAGAAATGACTTCTACATGGATGATCTCATGACAGGAGTCGATTCAGTGGAAAAAGCCATTAATATTATAGAGCAGATTTCCAGCGAGTTTAGTAAAGTTAACCTGAATTTAAGGAAATGGATTTCTAACAAACCAGAAATATTAGATTCTAACTTGCATTGGGTTGAATTAGAAGCAAAAATCACTTGGCTCTTTAAGGTTCGTATGAATACAAAAAATAAGAATTCAATGCGAACATTCAAAAATGGAATTAGTCAGACTAAGGAATTTGAACTCTAAGGTCGGATTGCACAGCTCGCACAGACGATAAAATACTAGTAGCACAATATGATATTAAAACTGAGAGGCAAGATGTGATATCATCAGCGTTATAGGTGATATTACGGATATACCGAAAATTGTTTGGAGCCCATTTGAGTGCAGAAATTGATAGGCTATCAAAAGAATTAGCAAATTTAAAAGAAATACATATAGAATTGAAGGGATTGAGTGTTCATCATATATCTGGTTATACCTCTCTAATTATATGTATGTTGATCGTTGTAATTTTAATTAACATTAACAGGCAATTGCAAGCCATAACTTTTGGAAGCCGTTTACAAGATGCTTAATTATTTAAAGCGCAATTGTTAAATAAATAAAATGTTTGTATATTCTAAAATGTTGTATTTTATATGTCACTTAAAAATAAAAACTGCACTCCTAATCTTACTAGCCCTTGGCAGAATGTTCACACATGAACACGAATACATATAAGTATGCGAGCTGAACGGAGCAGCCACTTGTAAAAGGACCTCCTGTGATCGGTCACAGAATATTTTAGCTACAAGTGCTATCAGGGTAGTTATGATCTCCCTTATCGCACTAAAGAATGTTTTCTCAGTTTAGGGATAAACAAGTCACTCCGTGGGCTATTAGAAATAAGATAATGTCTTCAAATATAAGATTTTATGAGTTCTGTGCATGTCACTTGTCAATGGAGCCAGAGCCATAAATTACGATCTGTTACTTAAAATCCAAGGGAACAGTTGTAAGCACGTGTAATCTGTAAGTGCAGGCCACTTGAGCCTCTAAATATTATCACTTGAAATGTTTCCCACACTACACAAAGGACTTGGGCGGGGGTCAAAATATAGCTCTCCGGCTCAGGGCAAAACAGATGCGTAGCCCATAGATAAGAAAAGAATACGAATCACACCAATGTTACTTGCTAAGAATCTTATTGAAATAAAAACAGTTTGAAATTATAATTCAGCAAATGTATAAGTCTTTTATTAGATCGCTCTAACATGTACTGAAGCCAAATGACGTTAAAAGACTAGTTTGCATGTCGGAAATGATGCTCAGAGCCAAATTCGTTTTAGCATGGGATTGTCAATGGTGATAAAAAAGTGATTCCTTACGGGAAGGTTACTAGGGTGTCAAATAAGTCTTTTGTTATTTTCGCTAGGTTTCGTTGCAAGTGCGTTATTCTAGTTGTGTTCATCGCATAAGGTCATGCTATAGCTTGTTGGAAAGGTTAATACGCGCTAATAAATGCGCTCTTTGTTGTTTGGTAGCGTCGCAAACATGGAGCAAAATAAAGAGAAAATCCGGCACACTTGACAGTACTACTACGACAAAGGCAAAAATGCATCTCAAGCCGGCAAAAATATTTGTGCAGTTTTTATTTCCACAGCACAACGATGGTTTCAACGTTTTCGATTTGGTGGTCAGATGCTCCACGCACCGGAAGGCCTGTCGTCGAAAATTTTGACAAAATCGCTGAATTGGTGAAGAGAGACCAGAATAGAATCCCAAGTGCTGGGCATGAGTTATAAACCATTTGAAGAAGCTTGCATGCACAAAGAAGCTCGATTTATTGGTGCCCATGAAGTTCATGCAGAAAAAAAGGTATGACCGTATCGAAGCATGCGAATGAAGCGGATGGTGACTGGGAATGATAAACATGAGGCGCAAACGGTCGTGATCGAAGCGTGGTGAAACGGCCCAGACGGTAGCCAAGCCTGGACTGACGGCCAGTTTGGTGGGATTGGCAGGGTTATGGTTAAAAGATCAATTGGGACCTGTACCACCAACAATTGGACTGCTTAAAGGCAGTAAAAACATTTTTGATGACGCGCCAGAACCTTCGGGAGCTCATATAGGAGGTTCTTTTGCATAACCACCTGTTTCCGTTCATACCGAACAAGCTTGATAATCGGAATTTGGACACAGAAAAGACCTGTGAAAATTTTGTCTCCAAATTTTCGGCAATAGGCAAGCTAACTTCTATAAGAGGGGCATTTTGAAATTAGCCTCTGGTTGGAACTAGTCATCAAACAAAACGGCGCATATTTGACCTAAATCGCAAGATTGTAACCAATTTTATGAATGATTGAGAATACCGCTGAACTTTTTGACACCCTTGTATTTGGTGGGGTCTAAAAGGTATTAAATATGTCCTGATGTAGTCAAGTGAGACGAGCATAGGAGACAGCAATTGTTCCGTTGGAAGATAAGATTAATTTTGTGGCCAACTTTCCAGTTATTGATTTCGAAATCCCAGCTGTATAGTCCAGACATGGCCCCTTCTTGTTAGCACTTATTTATAACATGCAAAAATCCCTAAGGGGAATTCGGTTCACTTTAAAACAAGGTATCAAACATTGGATAAAATCGTGTATGGGCTCAAAAGATGACCAGATCTTTTGGCACGGAATCCATTTGCCACCAGAAAGATGGGAACAAATCATATCTAAAAATCGCAAATACTTTAAATAATGTCTGTATTTCAAAATTCTTTTGCGATCATTGAACACAAGCCAGCTTTTATATGTTTCACACAGTATAACATTTACATTTTTTGTGAATCGTTTAATTATGTTAATAAGTTAAGGTTATCCGACTGATGGGAAACGTTTTTATATTTTTTTTTGAAGTCAGGAGATTCGAGACTTTGCATTCGTATTTTTTTATGTGTTGCCGGATCAAGCTCCTATTTTTTTTAATGTTGCCGTTCGGACGACTATATCATACAGCTTTAGGGTTGGGATGTACATAGATAGTTGTACCTTGGTATATACCTAGATACTTGATATCCATCACAAGACTGCAATAATATTAAAACTGCGGATTGCCAGAGTTATCTTCCGTTCGCGTTTTTAAATTTTTTTTTTCAATTTTGTATATCAGCTGTATTATAGTTTTCTGATCTGCCCGTTCCAATTCACAACTTGCAATAAGAATGGGTCTTCTGGGTAGATGTTATTAATATAGATTTTAATCTGAGACACTATTAGATCGACTGGTGATGCTGTCTCCTTTACTTCGTTGCAAACTTCTGACTGAAGTTTTAATACCGCCCCAACGTTTTAACATTCATTTTTAAAATTTCAGGATCCATGTATTTTGGGGTACTGGTATCGAAAAAAAAGTCAAAGTTGGCGACAATTGCCAATAAAGCCCATAAAATACACTTTATTAAAAAAATACTTTAAACAAAAGTTGGAGATCAAGTTCCAACCAAATTTTTATGTTTAGTTGCTTATTGCGTAAAGCTGATACTTTAAGAAAAAAATTCAAAAACGGTTGCCTTCAATCCGCCATTTTAAAATGACCGCTCAATAATCTGGTGATGCCAGACTATTATCGGTATTTAACAACACCAGGGACCGAAATGATTAATAATTTTATTGAAGCAATTAGTTAATGATTTTTTTTTTCAGTTTTACTTTTTACTCAAAAAATAAGTTATTTTTAAACTTTTATATAAATCTAAAAAAAATAACAATTATATATTGAGATTTATTTTCAGTTCTACAAATAATGATTAAATAACACTTGACTTGTAAGTTTTATTTTTGTATAAAAAAATATATTATATTCTTTGAGTTATTTTTGGATTGAAAATAAAGCTCGAACTCGATTTTTTTAATAGTGTGGGAAAAGAGGGGGTATGTAATAGACGCTGGGCAAAAAAACAATATAAACTGTTTTTACCTTTATTTTCCGTGCTTGTCGCACACGTCGACCGTTTTTATTCGTAGCCAGCACCCCAAAATACATGAATCCTGAAAATTGGAAAATAATCGGGTGCTGGGAAGTACAGATTAAAGTTTTAAGCAGGGTTGTTTACACAATATTTTTTGTTGAGGGATTACTTCTTAACGAACATTGCAAGAAGCCTAGGATGATCATGATCATGATCATCTTGTGAATAAAAGATACACAAAATTAGCTTGATTCGTATTTGGGCTCAAATAATGTAAAAAAAATCATTTCTAACGATGGTCAACAATTTCTATGTCTCAAATGGCTTTGGCTGAAAAATTCTTTAAAATTTATCGATAGTTCCAATTCATTCACGTTTTTCATTGGGTGGATTTATATTTTATTTTAAGTGACTATTGTATCAAGGAAAGATACAATATTTGAATGTTATAAATAAAAAATCATTTTCCATATTGATATTTTAAAATGTTGATTCAAGTTTAAATAAAAAATACAAAATTGTATAAACACGTTATTTTTTTTTAAACGAGTTGTATAAGTAACTCTGCTTTTAACTTAGCGAGTCAGTGTATCATTTAAATTTGTTGTGATCCGTTTAAAAATGTTAATATTTAAAGCTTAAGGTTTTCCGACTGATGGGAAGCTTTTTGTTTTTTGTTTGCGATTCGAGAACCAAACTGCATAGCTCTTTTCCTCAGGAATACTACTTCTCGCAGTCCGATTTGATAGCCATACAGTCTCAGAAGCAACTTATCACCAACACCTTCAGGATAGCTAAAGCAACATTTTTGGTACGCTTCTAAAGACCTTATAAATTTAACAAAGTTCTCCTCGACGAATGGCGATCTAGCCGTTTTGCCATTATCGGCAATAACTCGGTCATCTCTTGCTAAGTTCCGGGCCGGAATACGTTGCCAGTCTATCTCAAGTTCCATTTCCACGGCAAGATAATGTTCCATATCGCTGCCCAGGCAACGCCTGAATGTGTTGCGGTGCCGAGCATACCCACCAAATAATTCATCTGCCCCACTACCAATAAGGGCGACTCTGGCAGTAGAGCTAGTGCAATGCGAAGCAAACCAGAAGACGCATCCGAGACTCTCATCTAAAACTGTTTCAAGAGGATATATGAGATGTTTGATACGTGTATTAAGATGTTGCTGTAATTCACTACGGGTTACATTGACTTTCAGCAGATTCCAGCATCGCTTAGGACAAAGTTTCTTTAATTCTTCGATAGCCAACAATGAAGTTCTTCGATCCGGCACATCCCAAAGGATTTCAGATATATTTTGACCCTCAATGCTTTCGAAAGCTACATTAATCAGTTCGATCGGTTCATTTTCTGATACAAAATGATTAGCCAGCAAAGCCAAGATGGTACAGTCGATACCACCCGAAAACAAAATACAAATTTTTGCATGGTTGCATTTAGTTTTAAGACCCAATTTCGTTGAGCAGAGTCGGCAAGTTGGAGCGGTGTTTCTAACACGATTTCGTACCGAATCGCAAAGCAATTGATGGAGCGTTGTAAGAGATTCTTTTATTTGTGGTTGACTTATTATGTAATTATAAAGATCCACATGGTTATCGATATAAGGCAATTTATAGAAATCGTAATCAAATCTAAGCTTACTTTTTAACATCCACTCTGGCAAAATTGGACTTTCCACTGTAGTTTTCCAGCCAACAGCAATATCAAGATTAAGTAAAAGCTGATTATTATACTCATTAAGAGGCTGCCATGGATGCAATATGCACGCTGTTAAATCATTCACTTTGACCCGATATATACCCAAGGGGGGCAATTCCAATGATATTTTTTCACTTTCAGAATAATGTGAAGTACTTAATAAATTTAATCCTTTCGAAATGCGTTCAATAATTAATGAATTCCTTCCCAGTGTGTCGCGAGAGAAGTAGAGTGTTTGATCTCGTTTGTCATAAATAATTAAGCAATGAGGTCCCTCCCACTGCTTTAGTAGATTCAGTAGATTCTTTTCACTACGACATTCAGAAAATCTTTTCGCTATCCAAGACGTGTCTGACATAGAGTCAGGCTTTGGTAAATTGTAAAAATCTCCGTTATACAAAAAAATGAAGTTGTCTGCCACCACTGGTTGCTTTTGTACTTTTTCCCCTTGTTGCCATAATACGCTGCCGGCAAAAATTATGTGTCCACCATCATAATTTAGCACCAACTCGTCTTGAACGTCTGGACCACGGTTTCTTAGAATTTCTGTCAGTGGGCTTTCAATATTATTCGAATATAATTTAGCATCTTGCAAAATTGAGCAAAAAATTCCACACATTGATCTATCTTTATGTTTAACCAAAGAACAGTGTAACAACGGCTACATCCGTCACTATAGCAACGGTCTGTTTGCGGCAAAATGAGACGGTGGCAGATCGAACACGCAATTTTCTAATGCCCTCTTTCCACAATGTCCATCCGTCGGAAACGGTTGAATTTTTCAACATATGTGAAATACCGATTTCAACAGATATGATTTCAACATATGATTTCAGCTGCTCTGAACAGCTGGCTATTCAAAATGTAAACAAAGTCAACAGGTCAACCATCTTTGTTTACGTTTTAATGATCTAAAGCTGTTAAGCTCGGCTGAAATCGGAAGGTGGGAAGTGGAAGTGCTCTGTGGAAACCGGAGTTACACTTTTGTCAAAAGTCCCAACTGTTTTTCAAGGATGGACTGCGTGGAAATTGGGGGGCACCGCAGAAACATAGGCTAACTATCGCACAAATTTGATCTTTTTGGAAATACGCTATTAAGATTAGTGAGTTTCAGTTAAAATCATAAAAAAATTAATTAGATATTAGAATTGAGTTATTATTGTCGACCAGTGTTACTGTTCATATACTTCACGAAATCCGGGAGATCTCGCCAACTTTTTTTATTTATTTGGTGTATTGACATACAAATGATACATTTTCTTTTCTGTTATTAAATATTGATTACACAAATACTTATGCAAAACATAATATGTTTAAATGTATACAATTTCATTAATAAAGTAACATATTTTTAGGGCGATATTTTCGATTGTTTAGACTAGTTCCAACGAAAATATTAACTGGGACACTATCGATGTTGCCATATGTTGTAAATTCGCGGGATGGTCAGTAATAGCCTCTTCCCATTGAGAACCCTCCACCATCCTTTGAACGGATGGCGTTTCCAAACAGTTGGGATTTTTAAAAATTTCAATCCCTTTGAAAAAAGTGAAACTCCGGTTTCCACAGAGCACATCCAGCTTCCGAATTCAGCTGATCTTAACAGCTGTAGCTCAACAAAATATAAACAAAGATGGTTGCCCTGTTGACATTGTTGAAATCGGAAGGTGGATGTTTCACATTTGTTGATAATTCCAACCGTTTCCAACGGATGGACTGTGTGCAAAGCGGGCTTAAGGTGTTGCCGTTCCAAAAATTTTCCCTTTGTACCTTGACGGTGGAATTATTGTTCCTAACCTTACTATCTTTCCGATATTTAGTCGATGTTTTTTCAGTGTAATTCAGAACAGTTGGCGAGAATGAATTTAAATTGATAGGCCATCTTTGTTTCTGTAAATTATAGGCGTTGTCGAAAGAGAAGTTAGGGCTTGGGAGGCTAACACTACCCCAGGCAGCAATTTGAATACAGATAGATATAAGCCATTAATTAGAAGTTCAAAAACATAGAACAACCAATGCAAAACAGTTTGATAGAGTTAAAGACCCCCATTCAAAAAATTATGTTCAGTCACTGTGCGGCTAAGACTGTCGCTCCACTCACCGAGCAAAGCAAATTTACATATGCGGAGAAGCGGACTGCCGCGCAGACACTTCGCTCATAGAACAGGAGCAAGATCGCCAACCCCTCAGCCGAATGGTTGAAGAAGGTGGAGTGGGCGAGAAAGGTGCTCCCAAATTATGGCCAAGAGAGACCTAGTGTAGAGAACGCACAGCCGAAGAGGCAGCGATCTCTTTAATTGCCTGGACCTGCGGCAAAGATATCGAAGGTCCAACCAAACCTGTCTTTTGCGGACATCACGCGGGACAGAATTTTGATTGGGCTGGTTGACGAGAAGCTGACCACCTTGTGTATAGCACTGCTCTGAGACTTCCCCCAGCCAACACTATGCTGCAAGGATTCGGGTGGTTCCAAGGCAGCGTCAAAGTGGTGGCCTGCGATAGTCAGCGGTCGGCTGACCTGTACAAGAAGGCGACAGCGCAGCTCGGCGAGGTGTACAAAGGGGCGAAAATCGTCGCACTGGATTGGCGTGACGTCCCCAGTAGGCCCCGAGCATGGGATCTGGCTGCCGTTCTCCATTTAGACGCCGGAAGACATCCTCTTTATGTTGCAGAGGTGCAACCTAAACCTTTCCACGCACGACTGGAAGGTCGTGAAGGTGGAGCAGCATGAGGGACCGGTGAGGCAGGACATCGATGTGCTAAACAAGGGATCAGTTTCCCCAAAAGAGGCTGCTCACGGGGAACTGCATTTCGGTCTCATCGCGATCAGAGTGAAGATCTACAAGGGAGACTCGAACGCGAAGGAGGACCCGGTCGGCAACCCAGCCGAGCAGGTCTTTCCGGAAGAACTTGAGGCTCCCGGGGAAGAAAAGCCGGAGGACGGCTGTTCCACCGACGCATCGTTAAGAAGAATGATGCAGGCGATGAAGCCGGCTGTTGGAGACGACGACCTCAGTGACGATGAGGTTGTCGACGTCACGGTGGTGACGTAAAGTAAACCTCCACCACAGTAAGGCAGCGTCTGCTGCTCTGCTCCTCCGCCTGGCTGACGGTGGGGTAGACCTAGTGCTGGTACAGGAACCTTGGGTCGTTGGAGGCAAGGGCTCTGGACTAGACTCCAAGGAATTTAAGTTGCTAATTGACCCTAAAGGAGGTTTAATTCAAAATTAGCATATGGCCTTCGAAAAGGAGGACCCCCCAGACGAGCTAGTCCGAAAACTGGTCGAAGAGAGCGAGGCGCTCAACATTGGCCTGGTAATCGGCTGCGACGCAAATGCTTAGCACACTCAGTGGGGAAGCCCATCAAGCAATAACAGGGGTGAGCCTCTTTTTAATTTCATCCTTGGCTCTAATCTATTCCTATGCAACAGAGGTAACACCCCCACCTTCATCACAAAAAATAGCCAAACTGTCATTGACCTCATTTTGGTGTCAGGCAGTCTGCTAGAAAAAGTCAGAAGTTGGGAAGTCTCAAGCGAGCACTCCATTTCAGAGCACAGATTCATAGAAACTACTTTATCATTAGACCCTCCAATCCAGCTGAATTCGTCAAGCTTAGACGAATAAACTGGCTCGCTTAAGAGAAGCCATACTAGGTATTATTCCAATAGAACCCCCAAATGAAAATAGTGATCTACCCAGTCTAGATAACTCAGTAGGGACCTTCACAGAAACCTGCAATATGGCCAATCAGCCTACCCTAAATGCAAACCGAGGGGATCCAAAAAGCCTCCTCGGTGGACCCAGAAACTTAAAGAACTCAAATCAAGCTGCAGAACCTTCTTTAACAGGACGAAAGCGGGGAATGAAGATCTAAAATGGCAACAATATAAGTTGGAACTAGCCTCCTACAACAAGGCCATAAGAAAAGGAAAACGATCAGCTTGGCAGACCTTCTGCTCAAACATAGAGGAAACAACCGATTCAGCTCGGATAAGGAAAAACCAGATGGCTCATGGTCAGACTCTAGTGAGGAGACCATAAGCCTACTTCTAGACGCCCACTTTCCGGGAAGTCTCCCGGTAGAACGACTTCCAGAAAGTCAGTTTGATTCAAGCATCGACCTGGAAACTCTTCTTTCTGAACGTAACATAAGATGGGCCATAAAAAGTTACAAACCTTTGAAATCAGCAGGACCTGATCATCTCTCCCCTGCGCAGATCCAAAATGCTGGTCAACTTGCCGTCAAGTGGCTAAAGAAAATTTCCGCACCATACTAAACATAGGAACATTGCCATCAAAATGGAGGGAAACAAAGGTAGTCTTTATACCCAAAGCGGGCAAAGCTTCGCACACGACTACGAAAGATTTCAGGCCTATAGGTCTGACATCCTTTCTACTTAAGAGTTTTGAACGACTGATTGGACTGCACATCAGGTCAGTTATGGACTCAAAACAATTATCCATCACAACATGCATATTCAAAGGGAAAGTCCACCGAATCAGCTCTACACGCCGTAGTCAACCAAATCGAAAAGACACTCAACCACAAGGAATACGTACTAGTTCCATTCCTGGACATAGAGGGCGCTTTCAACAACGTTCTCCCTGCAGCTATAACCGAACCCCTCACTGAGTTTCAAGTCGTGGAGCTAATGGAGCGGGCCAAGATAGCTGCGGTTCGAATAAGGGACTTAGGGCAATGGAAACCCCAAACATATGGTCATGCCAGGATACTCCAGCAAGAAAAAACGATCCCACCTAAAACGAATCTATGCGAAACAATTAAATACAGCCACACCCCCTTTGAAGCATTACTCCCAACCAGAGAAGACTGGTAGCAAGGTCTACCGGGCCTAAAAGAGGCAGTCAACTTTTACACTGACGGCTCTAAATTAAATAATCAAGTCGGAGGAGGAACATACTCCGACCAACTTAACATCAGGAAATCCTTCAGACTTCCGGATAACTGCAGTGACTTCCTAGCGGAAGTATATGCTATAAATGAAGCTTTCTTGTTCCTAACGATGCAAACTGTCAAAAGAAATGGGTAAACATCTACAGTGATGGTCAAGCGGCTATCAGGTCGATTATCTCGACCCATACAAACTTTCAAACTATATCAAACTGCCGGAAATCTCTACATGAGATGCCTTTGCAGTTTAAAGTATACCTAATATGGGTCCTGGGTCACCGAAACATTGCAGGCAATTGTATTGCAGATGAGTTCGCCAGGCATGGCACTACCGTTCCTCTCCTTCCGGACAAGGAGAACATTGGTATGCCGTTGGCCACCTGCAAGCTAAACAATTTAAACAAATATAAAGAACTTGCGAGCCTAGCATGGACACACGTAAGACATTGTCGCATCTCTCGCCAGAAATGGCTAATTATTAATGCGAAGAGAACTTCTGAACTTCTAAAGCTAAGCCGTACCGAGTGCGGAATGCTTATACGAGTGCTTACAGGCCATTGGTTGGTCGGCATACATGCAAGCGGACTGGGCGCGCCCCAAAACGATTTCTGCAGAAGCTGCAAGGACGAGGAGGAGGAGGAAACGGTGGAACACCATTCCTGCCCGACCCTATGCAGATCTGGACTGTACCACTTAGGGAATCCCTTCATGAGCAGTCTATCTGAACTGGCGCGTATAAAC